TATATAAACAGTAACTTTTGAGGGGAACCACAAGGAGCCATTCCAAAAGACAGGAAAGGTGGAAACGCAAGTGTGACGAAAAGACACGTTTATTGCGAAAGTGTGGCAGCGGATGTAGAGAATTGATAATGGCGTAGAAGCACACCATGACAAAGGATCACAATGGACGCCCAACCTCAACCTCCAATAAAACTGGACTCCAGGAACGTATTACTATACAAGATCAACACAAGTTTCGGCAATCAAACGATAACTGACTAGATCAGTATCAAAACAATACCAAGAACAGTAAAAATCGGTTCTGAAAGGATTCTCGGCAAAATTTAGCCGGCTGCGGCGTGCACGCATCAGTGGGGTTACTTACCGGTGTGAGTCCGTAGATGGGCCTGAAGAGATTTTTCGCGAGGGAACACTCTGTTGCAGTAACGGCACTTGATGGAGCTCGGAGAAGTTGTACCTTGTTTCATCAAATTTGTAATAGCATCTGCCCGTGGCCTGCCCCTCTTCAACTCAGAGCGGGCAGAAGCGAGGTCCGGAGAACCGCATGAGCTAGCCGGGCTACCAAAATCCGCTTTTCGGGCATCTTCGGCCCAATTCCAAGGATATAACATAGAATCCGGCATTGCCGGGTTTTCTAACACATTTCCAGCCATAATAAAGTTACCTAAACTCTCAGTAACACGCCAAATTTGTTAAATTTCGACCCCCAAATTCGCAACATGAAAGCCTCCATCAGGCGGGAACACTTCACATGTTGTTTACCGCCAACAAAATATTTACAAAATCCCGCGCGGAAAGAGAACTGAAGTTGATTGGTTGACTGAAAGGAGGGGGCGGAGCCAACATAACACTGGTGCGCTTAGCGAAAATAGGAGTTTTCAACGAAATTCTACCGGCCATCGTGCTTGATTTTGAGATAAAAGATAATATGTGAACTCACTGAGGAAATATATACAGTAACGGAACTTTCTGAAGCCAACAAAGGCACGAAACGTTGTCTTCAATGTTGGATTCCCGCCAAATTCAATGATGGCCGCTCTAGAAAAATGAGACGCTACACATTTTCATCGATCCTTGGTGCCAAAGGCAGAGAATACTGTTCTTTCACTAAGTGTCGCTTCTTTCGTTGTTTGAACTTCATCAATGCCTTTAAAATAGGGGATTGCTAATTCTGAATTTTACACATCTATCCTAGAGCAAAAACAACCTAGATAATGTTCTTTTACCCCAGTCCACCAGCCACTTGATAGACCATTTCACCCGAGCGCGCTTCGATATCTCGAAGAACAAAAATACCGGAAGTCGCGCTCGGAGCGCTCCGCGCGGCGCGTTCGGCCGGCCGCACCACACCCCCCTCCACCGCAGGTGGTAGAGTCGTCGGTTTGTTTATTTCGGCTTAGCGTTGACTGTTTGAGGCAAACGAAGACACTTTTCCGACTAATTCGAGGCCGGGGAACACGATTCTGCCGTCAGATTTCTTATAGAATGTGAATTACACCTGGTAAGTGCTTAAAATATCGCATACAAGCTATTTCTAAGATCGACTGTCGCCCATCGGCAGCGGTTCTTGTTCGCTTTGTAATTAATTATAACAAAATGTAACGAATGACAGGTGTCCGACTGGTTTAACTGCAACTGCTCTCCCTTTTCTCAACCTCAAAGTGCATTACGTTCTCATAGAAATAGCTTTTGAATGTAACCTTTCTCGCATTGCGAAGTGGGCTAGGGGTTATAACCCCGTTTTGTTTTGTTTTGTTGCTTTTCATGAAACTTTCATGACACTATCATCAAACATTTATACTAAAATGAAAAAGAAGCGTGATAGTTCATAATTCCTTCTAAATAGACCATTTGGAACCTTTGTCACACAGTAAAACTTCAATGAAGTCAGTCTATTACAAGATATGCTTATGCTTTTGTTTGATTTCCAGGAGAAGTTCTACAGTATGATATGGGAACCCAGGAATTTGTATTCTCTCAGGTAATGAACCACATAAGAGTTGTTAAACTTATTTGATGTTTTTCTGACAAATTTTTGTTTTGATACTTAATGTTTTCTGTTTTACATTTATCTAGGTGGGGTCCAGTGCAGGACCTGGATTTGTTAATGTAGGCAATAACTGCTATGTTAACTCTGTGCTGCAGTGCCTCTTCTCTTTAGAAGAAATTCAAAAACTCTGTGTTGATTTAGCAAACCATAACATCAAGGTACGTTCGTTCTTCATTTTATTTTAAGTGAAGATTATAATAATGCAATTCTTGTTTGATGACCTGTAATATTTTTAACTGCAGGGCTCAGGAAATGTGGCAACAGCTGTCAGTCATCTATGGAATTTGAGGAAGAGGGCAAAGGATTTAGCTGTCGCTCCTGTTAAGTTCCTTGTAAGTATTTTGAGTGATGGACTTTCTTAATTTCATTTTTCTCTGATTAAGGGAAGAACACTTCATTTCAATCTGTATACTATTCCAAACTTCTTTTAAGCAATGTTACAGAAGGAATGGCCTGAATTTTTGCCAAAGGAGCAGATGGACAGCTCTCAATTTCTGTATTTCCTGCTTAATTCTTTGCATAATGAACTTCTGGTGAGTCTTGTTTCACCTAAAATACTGTCAAGTAATTTTACTGACAAAGTGACTTATCCTGGTGTAACATGTTGTATTAGATCATACAGCACTTCAAGGAGACCCCTCTTAAAGAGGACAGTTGGCTTTCCCTTATAGTGCACTCTTGGAAGTATAGAGTCAAGTCTCCAATTTCAGAAATTTTTGGAGTTCAGGTGGTCAGACTCACTTCATGCAGTGGGGGCTGCTCTTATGAAAATGTGTCGTGTAGGGACATTGACTTCATTACCACAATTTTTATACCTGAGTGCGAGAGCATTGCCTTGAGTGTCAGTTGCACTTCCCATATGTTTAAATTTTTTCTTACAATTTTTTGAAAATGGAATTGTTATTATATCTTATTTTTTTTTCCCAGGATTGTCTTAGGAGTCACTGCAAGGAAAATTTTTTGACGGATTCTAAGTGTGACTTTTGTAAAAAAGTGGGCACACTTCGTACCAGACTTTTGTTTGGCAGAGTGCCAAAAGTTTTTGTAATTCAACTTGGAAGGTACTCATTGGTTTTATCTATGAAATGCATGCTACACTTTCCTCTCAAGTATTTTTAATTAGACAAACATGCATGCTGTATTATTCTACATCATCAGTTTCTTTT